GTGGTTAGTATTACTACAGTAAATCCATGGTAAATTATGGCGATTTATAGATTCAGACTGTAGATTGTAAGATTGTAGATTTTAGGATCATCCATCCAGTGTGTGAAAGAATCGTTCAATGTGATTTTTGAACCATTTCAAAAAGAACTGGCTAAAAAAATGATTTGTTCACAAATTGGAAAGCACATTCAAGCAGGTCTTGGTTTGCTCAATTACAAGGATTTATATGATGTTTTATGTTTTGTTTTCTGAAATTTAATGGAGCAAAAATGACAATGTTATGCTTTAGAATGTTGTAAAATAAATTAAGAAAAGAAAAGAAAAGGAAAATACTCTAATAGTGCTCTAAAATTACAGTAAGGAAGTAAAAAAATTACTTTATTACAATCCAGCACTACTCTGTACTATTAGAATATGCTATAACATGGTAAATATGACCTCTAGTCAAATAAAGACAATGATTTGATGAGAGTTTTGACTGCACCACATTCATCCTCATGTATATGGCAATTGCAATATGACCTAATGACACTGGAGGTCAAACTGTAATATACAGCTATCCATTGCGTTAGTGAAGGACACATTCAATTACCGTTATAAGTGAGCTGCATTTATCGTCATCATTACTATTATAATATTTGATGGCCCTTGATTTTTCTCCTTGTCATAACAGACATTAGTGTGTTCAAGGCTGGTTGAATTAGCCTGTTACAAAGACGAAGCGTAAACATCAATCCCACTCAGTGGGTAAATGTCACTGACGTTCCCTTGGGGAGTTAAGACTTGTCTCGCTCCGACTAGCCTCTCTTCATGGCTTTAATTGGTCAAATTAGCGAGTGTGTCCGCCCCACATATTCAAAGCCGGACAACTGAATCACTGCAGTGCACACGTGTGATGAAATCCATAGTGACAGAGTGATGGGAACAGTGCTAGTAAGAGATAACAGCTGGATGCTGGGAGTGTGAGGTGCTGCTTGTGTTTGCAGGGACGAGTGTGTGTGTGTATGTGTGTGTGTGTGTGTGTGTGTGTTTATATGTCTGTGAGAGAGATTGCAGGCCAGCTGCAGTGTACACTTCAGCGTTTAGTACACCATACAAGGAGTATGAAATGAAGAATAACAGTTGCTTTAATCTGAACTCCAGTGTAATATAATCATAGATACCACAAAGGTTATTTTAACTAACCATGACTGACATCAGATGCCTTACAGCATGTGCTGTGAGTTTAACATGCATTTGGGAACGCACCGTGCGCCAGGTTCACTTTATTTTTACATTTGCATATTTCTAACATTATTGTGGACAGAAGTTTACAGCATTTCACCAATATTCTGGTAAAATAAAAGCTTGAGGTTTGAAATGCTAAAAGCTTGAGGGTTTGTACATTTGAAAGTGAAGCATGTAAGATAATTATTACTACTGTAATTTGTAATTATTTAAAAAAATTAAATTAGTATTATTTATCATCAAATATTCTTTTTTACCGTACTATGTAACAGTATGGTATAACAGTAATATATTGATGTTTTTTTGCTAAGTTAAAACTCAATAATAATAACAATAATAATAATAAATATATTATTATTATTAAAATATCATTAAAATCACAGGTGGTACTTCAAGGAAATATTTTACATCAAAGTGGTTCAGCTGACAAAAATATTTGTGAACCCATGTCTTATGGTTTGCAAATAAATAAATAAATAAAAAAATAATAACAATAATTTTTGTTTTGGTATGTTAGTTTGTTTGTTTCCATACCATGTAAGTCAATGGGGTTTAATCTTGTTTTGGACCCCACTGACTATCATTGTATGTACAAAAATGGTTTAAACATTTTTCCAAATGATCATCTTTTGTATTCAAAAGAAGAAAGAAACAACATGAAGGTGAAACAGAATTATCATTTTTTTGGGTGAACTAACCCTTCAATATAGAACGTTCAGTCACAGGTGTGTATTTATCTGCATTTTACAACAGAACATCCAATGGGAATCGGCTTTCTAATGCGTGTTGCATTTCAGCTGGAAAGAGGGGGGGATGCTGGAATGGATTTGTTGACCACAGGAGGATATGATGCAGTGCACTATCAATCATGAAGTGATATAACAGTATTGTGCTGCAGAGACTGGAGGGGAGGTCAATTATAAATAATGCATTGGTAATAAACGCTCCTATATACAGGGAACGCGAGTCTGATCTGCTCATAAAAGCCTTGCAAACCCCTCACACGTGCTTCTGACACAGTCATCTTCTATATGTGTTGATTAATCATAATACTAAGAACCTTTCCACCATAAGGCACCTTTTGACTTTGTAGTGCAGTAGATAACACAAATGTCTGGTAAGCAACATAAACCTCAGATGTCCAAAAGGTTGCAAAAACAAAACAAAAGATGTTTAGATGCAAGAGTCACACAAATTGCTAAGAACAGAATGGATCACCTACTGATGATTCTGCGTCCATTAAAATAAATTGGCTGTCTGAATGTGCTCTGCTTATCTGAGACTCTGTAATCAAATGGAGCTTAGTTTTAAAAACATTCATTGGTGGCATTAGAGGGCTGTTTATGTAAGCCTGGTTTGGTTGGTCAGATCTGGTCTGGGATGGAATTTCTGGGGCTTGTAGTGACATGAGTAATGATTTACAACAGGTTTTTTTATTTTCTTTGAGTACTGAGTAGTTTAATTTCCTGCTGTCTCGAAGTTTGTGTGGATGAGCTCCCAGTCATTTTCAAGAGAGCCCGTGTCTGCTGCTCCTGAGGATGATGCCGTGTCATTTCCTGTATATATTTTCCTTTATTTTGTGGACAGATGAGGAAGTTATGACTGCTCTAAACTGTCAATCATGACAACTGGACTAGTACTAGAGCTGTTAGGCTGCCATCTAGTGCTCTGAATGTAAACTAAATCTATACTGTGTGTGTGAGACAGAGATTTTCTATGATAGACAGAGAATGCTAAACAGGGAAAGCCAGAGATACAAAGCACAGCCAGCTTTAACAAAAATATCATGGATTACTGCAAAAATTTTGTTTGTAATCCTATAATAACCAATGTACGTTGTGGCACAGTGGGCAGTGCACATGCTCACAACATGTAAGAGTAACAGTGCTCTAGGGATTTGGGATTAAATTCCTATTCCTAATTTTAAAAATAATAATAATAAATAAATAATGCTAAAACTTGAGGGCTAAATGTACCATGTGAATGATGCACATTATGAACATGCATTAGTAGCACCTGTAATAACAGTCTAAAAATATCAGTTACTTTCATTACAAAATAAAATAAAAAAAATTAAAGTAAAATAAAATACAAAAATAAACAATATAATATATAAGAAAATAAAATACATTTTTTACCCTATAAAACACAATGAAAACTTTTACTATATTACATCCAAAGTGACATGGTGTATTCGCATCAGGGATTTAAATGCTTAAGCTGTTTAGACACGGGAACATTACTGTTACCCAAGAACATGAGAGGCTTTGCTTACGTCCTAAAAAAAAAAAACTTCTTTTAGGGAGAACACCACTTTTGCTCTGAAGAAGCATAAAGTCGGTCCAGTCCTCCTAGCTTCAAATCATACAGCGTAAATGCTGTATCTTTCCATACATTTGTATTGCATTTTATAGCAGCTGAAGTAATGGGTGGGGGGGCTGGTGAATCAAACATGACTGCTTGCCCACTGCACTTTCTGACCTTTAGATTCTATCTGAGGCACTTTAAGTCAAAATCAGTGATTGTGGCTCGAGGACATGCTGGCCGCTTCCACTCCAAAATGGAACAGAAGCCCCTACTTAAGGTGGGATAACAGATTACATGAGTGAATGTCCATGACATGGCTGCTGAAAATAATTCTGAATAAGATTCGGTGTCCTATTTTTTAGTACTGGCAACAATTAAACATAATTTCTCCACATACTCCTATTAATGTAATGCAAGACAAATATCATTCTCACTACTGTGATACAATAATGAAAATCACCTTTTCTTGATGTTTAATCTGCATTTTGGTAAAACATTAGATTTTTCTGAGATCCATATTAACTCTGCCAAACAAAAATAAGTAAGTAAATAAATCAATAAATGTGCAGAATGAAGTGGTAACTGGAAGTCACACTCCAAAAACCTCATGTCCTCACTCAAGGGCATATATGATTATTCTCCTCAAAAAGTTTGTCCTAATCATTTTCCAGTCCAGGCCAAATCCACCACAAACAACTGTACTGAGATCCTAAACCTCTTTTAATCTCTCCAGATAAGCAACATGTGAACTACACATCTCAGCTGTGGGCGAAGCCAAGAGCACACGTGTTTCGCTTTAGGCTATGCTCTTGGCATTTAGCGACAAGGTCGACAAATAAGATTCCCTCACACACAATGCACACATATACACATAAAGATACAGCAGACAGAAGCCAAGATGAACACAAGTGGCGTTGTACCGCTGAGAACAGATAAATGCTTGTGTGATGGAGTCCTGATGAGGGGTTAGAAAGAAACACTTCCATCTGCTGTGCTTCCAGAAGGTGCTGTATATGTTTATTTGTGAACACTGGATAAAGAGTTTGAAAGTGTTTGACACAGGTAATGAGTGTGAGTGTGAGAGTGAAGTGCTGGATGATATACTGAATACTCACAATATACAGTATGTGTGATGTTTTTTGTTTGTTTGTGTTTTGGCTACATAAAATTAAGCAACATTGAGACTATTACAATGACTTCAATGTGCTGTTTATTTGGCCATTATGTTTCCTAAGGGCGGTGTCGTTAAATTAGTGTTGTTGTTCTGTTTTTGTACGGTTGTCGACTTGATTCAAAGATGATTGCTAAAATGATGCAATTTTGGAGAAAATCCATGAAAAGAGACAGAATACATTAACATTATAAAATGGCAAGATATAATAGTTAGCAATATCACCAGACCTATGACTGTGTGTGTGTGTGTGTGTGTGTGTGAGAGAGAGAGAGTACCAGTGAGGGTTACTTACAGTAACATGTTCCTCTAAGTGGGTTGCCAAGGTAGCGATTTTCAGAATCACATCTGCAGTAAATTAAAAGAAAGAACAATTGGTTAAAAAATATGATGCATGTACACAAACAAAATAGATTTGGGAGCTTGGTTTGACCCATCAACAGAGAAATAGTTCATCAAAAAAATGTAAATTCAGTGATTTACTATAGCTATACAATAGTGGTTCAACGGATCACAAATCTCACTGTTCGGATCACATTACGGTTTTTGACCCACGGATCGGATCATTTTTCGGATCAGCAAGAAAAGAAAAATATTTCAATTTAACTTGCTTTCCATTTATTACTTAAAGCGAAGTACTTCTTTGATACCACAGCAAATACTACTAGATTAACTAAGTACTTTTTAAGATTAATTTAAGATAAGTAGATTAATTTAAGTAATAAATGGAAAGCAAGTTAAATTGAAATATTTTTTATTTTCTTGCTGATCCGAAAAATGATCCGATCCGTGGGTCAAAAACCGAAGAAAAATATTTCAATTTAACTTGCTTTCCATTTATGACTTAAAGCGAAGTACTTCTTTGATACCACAGCAAATACTACTAGATTAACTAAGAAAGTTTAAACATGATTAAAGAGACAAGAGGACAGCCAGTAAAAATAAGAACAATTACACAAATTACAAGCATAGATAAATACAAAAGTATATGTTACAAATAAAATAAGGTTGGTAGTATTCAAATACAGAAACTTAGTGTTCACTGTATAAATTAAATATAGATTTTTATCACAGCTGTTTTGTTGTTTGATGATCATGTGCGCGCTTCATGTGTGTGCGGCTGTGTGCGAAGAGAACAGCACACGCGTAACTAATCGAGTTCCCTTTTGCCTTTTCTCTCTGGAATTGTTTAAAATTTTGCAATTAATCCGCGGATCACATGCGTGCCGAACCGTGGGGCTTGGTCCGTACGGATCACGGATCAACTACGATCAGTTTAACCACTACTTCTAACAAAAATTGTGTTTTGTAATGCAATAAAAAAATTAAAAAACAGGTTTGCTGTGCTTGTTTGTAAGGGCTGCATAATTTTGCCAAAATTTTGGACTTGTATGTCAATATGTATATGGTGATGAAGAAGAAAAAAGCAAATAAAATTGCAATTAAAAAGAAAAAAAGAAAATTATATATTTAATTAAATCACAGCTTTTGTGATTTGATAATTGCACTAAGCCATAACAAAAAAAAAATCGAAATATTATTTGAAACTACATAGTATTTTACTATTTCTGTTACTACTGTAGTTATATGCAGCTTTTATGACAATATTATTTGCTGTTGTAGTTGTGCAGGAGTTGTTACTTAAAAATGGCTGCTTAAACTTGTGAGTGGCTGGTAAAATTCTGCATTCAGACATTGTGGCAGTTAATTTGCCACCCTGACTGAGAGTCTACATGGAATATTTGGACTTTTACGCAGAACACAAACTGTTTCACGTCAAGATCATTTACAGTTAAGTAGTGAAGGCAAAAAGGTAATAAAAAATTATGATAAACGTAAGAGAATAGTGACCTGTCAAAATCTTTCTTTAAACCACTGCAGGAAAAACAGAGATAGTTTTCAATGTTGAAGAATGGGCAGGGTGGATTCACTGTAGGAAGAGCAGGGATGGGCAAAGATACATCAAAATGTATTTTAAAATAAAATACTAAATACCTTAATTTTAAGTGTATCAAAATAAACTACAAAATACAGCAGCCACACCAAGTATAAAAAAAAACTACTGTATTTTTGTATTTTAAAAATACAAAAAAAATACTTTTACAAGGGAGCATGAAATTTCTTCACAAAATTTTGCAATTAATCCGCGGATCACATGCGTGCCGAACCGTGGGGCTTGGTCCGTACGGATCACGGATCAACTACGATCAGTTTAACCACTACTATACAACAAGACAACAGCTATTAATGTTTCAACTTTTCTTTTAAAATATGCTGTGCCCATAATAAATTTTAAAAAAAATTGATTGATTGATTGACACATTACATGACCCAAAAGTGATAGTAAAGACATGTTACAAAAAAAGATTTCTATTTTTAAAAAAATGCTGTTCTTTTGAACTTTCTATTCATCAAAAAAAATGAACATGTTTCTTTAACATCAAATCTAAAAAATATTAGAATGATTGCTGAAGCATCATGTGAGAATGAAAAACTGGAGTAATGGCTGCTGAAAATTCAGCTTTGTCATCACAGTAATAAATTATATTTTAAAATATATTCAAACAGAAAACAGTTTTTTAAACTGCAATAACAGTTTACACTATTACTGTTACGTATCCGGTCCATGAACTTCCGTCTGCTAGCCATCAGAGGTCACCCTTTCCATTTTCATTGACTCTCGCACTACACACTGTTGCATATCACCCCGGACTACATATCCCATCATTCATTGCACTGATTGCACACAGCACTGATTGCACACAGCTGTTTCATATCACTCACTCACTATTTAACACTCAATCTCACTCCTTTGCCTAGCCTAAGCCTAGACTTGCCTTGCCTTGTCTGTTTTCTCGGTTTCTGATCATTGCCTGTTTTCCTGGTTTTCCTGGTTTAGTCTCGCCCTTTTGATTCTGTTCGCCGTTCGTT